GACACACTGTCAAGAGAAGCAAGATCCTGATGGCGCAGGGTGTTTGGGCACACTGGGGCCTGTCCTGGACAGGGAGGAACTGGGGGTAAATCTTCACCCCTCGAGGAGCCCGGCCCCACAAGTCTGCAGAGGAGCACGCCCTCATCCAGGGTACAACTGGGCATCTCTCCTGCACCAGCAGCACGCGGGCCTGCACGGAGGTCAGTGGAGGACGGGCGTCAGGAAGACGGGCACCGCCACGCAGTTGTGGGGACCAGCAAGCACCGGGGACTGGACACCAGTGCTCTGAGGGACAAGCAGCCAGCTCTCCCCTGCCAGGCACCAGGCAGGCTGGAGGCACACGGTCATACCTGGGGTGCCATCTGTGGCATGGATGCCATTGGGAGCCGGCCGCTCCAACGGTGGGCTGCTGAGGCTTTCCCTCCACTTGCGCTTGCGGTGCTCGCTCTCTCCAGCCCCAGCCTCCACGCTCCGCTGCTGCTTTATCTTCCGGGGCTCTGTCTCAGCCCTCCTAGAGCTGGGCAAGGCAGCAAGGGTCAGCTCGCTCTAGCCAGCCTAGAGCGGGAAAAGAGTCGGAGCTCCCCACAGGGCAACGCGACGCAGGGACACCCACACCCCAGCACTGCACTCGGGGAGGGGTGAAACCACCCCCAGCAAGCCAGCGCTTCACCTCAGCTCGTCCCACCCGCAGAAGGACAAGACACACCCGACGGCAGCCTGACTTCAGGCAGAGCGGAGGTGCACAGGGCTCTCGTGTGCCCCCCAGCTCCTCACCTGCCCGAGGACAGCGTCCCAGAGCAGCGCTCTTCTGTCTCCTCCATTCTCCTCTTTTTCTTCTTCTTCTTGAGGGGGGAGATGGGCTCCGTGTCCAGGCAACTACTGGCATCTGACACTCGCTGCTTGGGCCTGCTCTCCAGCTCCTGACAGCCCGGTGCCTCCCTGCCACCGCTGGCACCCTTGCCTGCTGCCTCCTTCCCCTCAAGGGACACCGAGCCCTCCTGAGTGAGGTTCTTCTTCTTCTTTCTGGGGGGGCCGGAGACTTCATCCTTGCCCTTCGCAGCCAGAGCATGAGGGCTGCCAGCTGCTCCATGATGTTGCTTTTGCCGCTTCTTTTTGGAAGAACCCGGGGTGACCTGGCTGGGTCTCTTCTCCCCGCTGCAGGGAGGAAGGTGGTGCGAAGGGTGGGCAGTGGAACCGTTGGACAGGGGGGAGGCTGGGAGCGGAGGGGCTGAGTTGAGGATGAAGCTGGAGGCAGGCTTTTCGGGATTTGGCAGTTTGAGAGCAGAGGAGGACAGCCTGAGGGACAGGAAGAGAGGCTGACACGACCTGAAAACCAGGTCAGGAGTGGGAGCCCCTCTCTTCCTCCACACCCTGAGGTGCAGGAGCACAGCACCCAACTGCTACCACCATCTCAGCCACGAAATCTGAATCAGATCCTGCTCTCGAGAGCAGCAGCTGCAGGCACACACAGCGACCCTGCATCTGCCCAGTGCCAGCTACGCGCAGGGCACACGCTGTCCCGCGGGCGATTAGGAAAGAGCAAGTGGTGCTGCAGCACATGTCAATGGTGAAGGTTACAAGGGAGACCCAGAGCAAGCCCTGCCAGCCCAGGAGAACAGGAGAGCCGGCTGCCAAAATCGCCCCCCGAGCCAGCTGCCATACCAGACAGTTGCCTCATGGAGTACCCCAAGGCTGCGACTGGCCTTGCTGCCGTGCAGGAGCCTGGGAGCGACTGGCACCGCTTACCTCGACTTGCCGAAAGGCCAGGGAGTGGAGTCGGGCTGTGTGGTGTTCGTGGGGCAGGTGCGGTCAGCAAATTGTGGGTGAGGTGGTGCGTGGCCGTCGCTTCCGCTCGCCTTCCGCAGGGGGCTGCCCTGCAGTTATTGACGTAAATAAAAACTTGGTGGTCTAAAGAAAAGAGGTTTCCGTGAGCCAAGAGGAGAAAACAAAAAGGGGAGCCCAGAGAAAGGGGAGGGGAACAGATACAGACGGGGGGAGGGAAGTGGGGGGTGGTAGAAGAAGAATGAGAAGCGTTTTCAGTTAGAAGCACAAAGGAAAAAAGGAAGGAAGGAAATTTAAAGAGCAGAAACCCCGGTGCACCGTCCTGAGCCCTGGCTGCACAGCGGCACCCAGAGGGCCGGGCCCACGCCGCTGCCCGGGGAGGAGGCAACGCCGCAGCCCTCCAGCTGCAGCGTCACCTGCTCCCACTCGCCCCAGGGGACGCGTTACCCCGAGAAGGCTGGCGAGGCCACCCCGCTGCAGGCACTGGCGCAGCCACCCCTCCGTCCTGAGCAAGAAGGCAGGAGCCATTTCTCCTGCGTCACTCAGGGATGTGAACAACAGCAGGGGCCTGGCCCCGCACCCCAACCCAGAAGGAGGGCAGAGCAACTGCTACAGCCCTGGGCCCGAGGCTCTCCTCACCCACCTCCAGCTTCGCAAGACACCCAGCGTTAGCTTTACGCTTGCCCCCAACACAAGGCCCAGTTCAGGAGGCACAAGGTGCCTACTCAAGTCTCCAGGCAGAAGCTCAGACTCACCTTTTTGGCAGAGAGCGCCAGCTTCTTGGCCGGTGGTGGTGACGTGGTACTGCTCAGCTCCAGAGCGGTGCTGGCCAACAGGGAGGATTTTAATTGTGCTGGCTTGGAGTCTTCAGGGGCAGCCGGCTCGGTGCTGGGGCGAGCAGGGAGGTCCGTGCCACAGTCCGTTTCCTCAGAGGTGCCGAAGCTGCCGGTTCCACTCTTGGCCTTCTGGGACGCCTTGGCCAGCTTCCCCACCGCGCTGTGTGCTGGGCTGGCAGCCCTGCTGCCGCAGGAGTCCCTCTCCCGGGTCCCGGTGTTCTCCCCGCTGCCCCGGGGCTCCTGGCTGGGGCTGGGCTCTACCAGCAGCTTGGGTGAGGTAGGTGGCTGCTTGCTCTCCCAGGAGCTCTGCCGGGGCAGCTCTGCTTTGGCCCCGTTTGCGTTGCTGCTGTCACAGAAGCCCTGAACTGCTCTGGCCGTGGGAGGCAGCTGCGGGAAGGAGAGCGGCTTCTTGGGCCTCCGGGCTGCAGCATCGGGCAGCGCTGTGGCCGTGTGGGTGGCTTTGAGGGGCAGTTTGGGTGACGGGGACCCAGCGGGCAGCTTTGGTGGAGCAGTTCCGTTCGCCAGCTTCGGCCCTGTCCCAAACGTGCTGCGGGCCGCAGGGACTCCAACCTCCCCCGGCCCCGGCAGCCTGTCTGGTCTCTAGACAAAGAGAAAGAGACAAGTTCAGTGAGGAGAGGATTCAAGCACAGAGCAATACTGCCCTCCCTGTCCCTCCCCAGGCCCCCTCGGCTCAGCAGGATCCTTCCTGCAAACCGTCCTCTCTCGCGCCTGCCCCTTCGGAGCAGCTCGCCGGCCTCCCTGCGAAGCTGCAGCCCACCTGCCCTCGCAGAGCAGAGGGGCAGCAGCTCCCGGGAGCGCCGGCCGAGAGCAGCCTTCAGGACTCACCCGGCCCATCAGCGGTGAAGACAGGGGCCCGTTGGTCACACTCTTCTTGACCTGATCCGTGATGCTGCCAGTGCGGCCAGGCAGGCTGGAGGCAGCTTTGGCAATGGGCCCCTCCGAGCTCTTCCTGGGGCTGGGGATTCTGGCGAAGGCAGAGAAGCACACGCGTTAACTGCGAGGGCTTGAGCGACTAGAACGCTCTTGTCAGAGACGAACGCAAAAAACAGGAGCCAGAAGCTCCGAGGAGGTGAGGTGCTCTTGATCTGCAGCAAAACCCTAACAAGGGGCTGGACCTCTCCCTGCCACCCTCCTCCGAGCCAGCGCATACACACGAGCATTGGGGCTACTTGGGCCAAGCTCCTTCCCGCACCCAGGCACGTGCTGCCGGCCCTGTCCCAAATGCTGAGAGCAGGGGGCAGAGGGGCCGGGGGACACAGGGTGCTCTCACCTCAGGTAGAACAGCACATAGGCCTGCTGGTTGAGGACCACTTTGATGTTGCTGGAGCGCACCCGGTCATCGTTCATTTGATACCACTGCCCATTGCTGGCCTGCAGAAGAAGAGAGAACGGGGTCGGGCTGTGTCCTGAGACCCTCCTGGCCTCAAGAGCAGCAGGAACAGCGCCTGTCGGCACAGCTCCTCTCCCCAAAACCCACAGGCGGCCCAGGCCAGGCAGGGGGACTCTGCGGGAGCAGACCTCTACGCTTCCTACAGTGGAGCACAGCCTGTACCCCCCAGTCAGTGTTCCGCACCACACACATCTGCTGAGCACCCTCCTTTCTGCACGCTACAGGGACCCACGAGCACCCCCCAGCCCCCAGCCCTGGGCTCACCTTCACGTAGCAGTAGTAGTGCCCCGCGTGGCAACTGTACCCAGAGTGCACCAGCACTGCGTAGAGTCCGTACGTGACAGGATCCCCCTTGTTCTGAGACATGTAAGGGCGGATGTTCAAGTACTCAGGGTATCCCACGTCCTGCACGGAGAGGATGTCTCAGGAGCCCGCACAGCAGACGGCTTTCTTGCTAGAGCAAGAGCAGCTCAGCTGTCCTACGAGTCCCATCTCTCGAGGGAGGGGGCCCTGCTCTCCCCATGCACAGGTCACGGTGAGGACGATGCCAGGATAAGCCCAACTCCCATCGCACCGCACAGCTGGGAAAGGGCTGCAGGACTGCTGCGGAGCTCGCACTGCTCACAGGACCACCTCCCACCCTGCTCCGGGCAGCAGGGCCTCGGGCCAGGAGACAGCCCCAGCTCCGGACTGCCGAGCGCTCACCTTTGTGATTTTGCCTCCGCCGAAGTCGGCAAAGCGCTTCAGCGAGAGCGTGAGAACATTGGAGGCTCGGTGGATGGTGAAGCGTTTGCTGGCCGGCACTTTCTTCTCGCATCTGCACGGGAAGAGCTTCGGCTATTCAAGCCGTCCCACCACCCAGACGATTGCCAGCCCTGGCCAAGCGGCAAACCCCACGGAAACGACCCTGCTGACGCCAGGCGCCGCTCCAGGGCACCCGCTCACGGCCACGTCTCCTGGCCCAGGTCCTTCTCGCCAGAGGAGGGAGCTGAGGAGCGGCAGGTTTCACTGCAGGCTTCCATGGCCGCGTACCTCACGGTTTAGCCGTGGAGCAGGTAGAGGAGCCCTCCTACATTGCGGCAGGTTTTCTACCTGCTTCCCACCAGCACGCCCACAGGCCCCTTCCCGCCCGCAGCCCCGCACACTCACTTGGCACACATGTAGGCGTTCTCCCCGCCCAGCATGTCCGACTTCACAAACAGCTCCAGCGCCCGCACTATGTTTGCAGCTTGCTGCAAGGGAAGAGGAGAGGTCAGGGCACAAGTGGCCTGTCCACGCGACAGCCCGCCTGACAGCCGAGACGCTGGCCCCGAGAGAGAACACAGAGCGTGAGCACAGCGCCACAGACTACACCAAACCCACGAGCCTGCCACCAGCTAGGCACTGGCCAGCATGCCGTGAGGGACGGCTGCACTGCCCCCCGACACCACGGAGCCTCAACGCAGGAGTCACGGCTCACGTTCAGGCAACGGGCACCGCTCTGCCGGACACAGAAGGCAGAGCAACAACGGAAGCTGCTTCCCTCTTGCCTGCACCGTGCCTTGACACTGGCAGGTTAAGGAGCCTCGAAAGCAGTAACGGTGCGGCTGTGGGAACATCCCCCACGAGATCAGAGCTCCTCCCCATCCCCGACCCTGCCGCGTTACCCCGATCTCCAGCGCCAGGTCCAGGTAAGGATCATAGGTGTCCGAGACACTCTTGCACACCGAGCACTTCACTGCAAAAGAAACAGCGATGAGCACACCCTGGGACAACACCACCACCCGCCACCACCCCAGCACAGCGCGGGCAGCTGCAGGATTCCCCCTCTCCACGTTTGGGCTCTAGGATCTCAGCACCAGGATTCACAGCCGCGCAAGGAGGAAGGCTGGCAATTCCACTATGTGCTGGGACAGCAAACGTTGCTAGACCGCTGGCAGCACAGGTTCCTTTGCTGGCAGCAATGAACCGGGAACCCACAGCCAACAGCTTTTTCCGTTGCCACACCACGGTTCGTGACCCACAGGTACCACACGACTGACCAGCTGCAGCTCTGGATAATTTGCACGTGCTTAGCAATTCTCCCAAAAGATTTTTACTGCAAGGCTCTCAGGGAAACAGCAGCCCTGAGAGTCACGGGCCCAGGACCGGGCAGCCAGCACTCACCACGGGACCGCAGGTAACCGCCAAAGATCTGGTGAACCAGCGTCGTGGCCTGGGTCTGGCGATCCAACCTAGAGACAGCAGCACCGGATCTCACACCGCCCCTCCGCAACGGCCACCCCCGCAAGCCACCACTGTGTCCTCGGGACGGCTCCCCTACGTGCTCTGGCCAGCGGATGGGCTGCAGAGCTCCAGGAGCAGAGGGAAGGCGCAGCCTCTGCCAGTCTGCTCTCCCGGTGCTGGAGCTCAAGGGGCGGCACCAGGCTCCGATCCGCACCTTCCTCTAGAAGGAGCAGAAACTCCCGGCCGGAGCTCAGAGCTGGGCGCTGCAGGCAGAGGCAACGCAGGCTTCCCGGCACAGAGGGCCCAGGAGAAAGCTGCTCACCCACAGCCACAGAGCTGGGGCTGAATGCCTGGATCCCTCGGCAATTGGGACAGGATCCAAACCCCTAGCAGCCTCAGGATTTGGGGACACGACCACAGCTCTGCTGGGCCGGAGGAGTCAGGAGAAGGCAGAAGGCAGACAACAGCCCAGAGCTGTGTCACACAGGGGCAGAGAGCTGAGCCATCCACCCGAGGCCCCTGGAGTCGGCACCTCCCTCTACGAGTCCGACCCGGGGGACACATTCACCCCCCAGTCCCCTCCCACAGGCGCAGGGGACCAGCGAGGGGACAGCAGAGAAGAGCAGCGATGGGCCATCAGAGGCCCCACGTACTTGGTACGGCCATTCAGGCAGGCCTTCTGCATGGCATCAACGGTGTAACGCAGGAACTCGTGCGCATCCTCCTGCCTGCCGAAGCGGATGTGCTGGGCAATCTCTGCGGGAGAGCCAGGAATCAGTCCCTTGCACGTGCTGCAATAGATGCAGGCCCTCCCTCGGGGCAGGGACTCCGGGGTTTGAGCCCTCTCAACCCAAACCAGCCACCAGCCTCATGCCGGCCATGGGGGAAGCCCCACGTAGCCCGTGTGGTCACCATCCCCCGGCAGGCTCCGTGAGTCATCTCAGAAGAGCCATCTGCCAAGACCTGCCCCGATCTCAAAGGCTCTGCTCCTGCGTTAGTCACCGCTCTCCTGCACGGCTAACGGAGGGGAGGGCAGCCATCCTTACTCTGGAGGTCTCGGATGAAGGACACCGGCTTTATTACGTTGCCGCTGTTGGCAAAAGCCTGGATCACGTGGTTCTGCATAATGCACATCATGCAAAAGCCTCCTTGGTGACCTGGAGCAGGAGAGCAGAAGACAGGACGTTGGGGACAAACCCAGGAGAGATGGAGGCAGTACAGGGGACTGGGGATCTCTGCTCCAACACAGCTCAGCCACACTCAGTTCTCCCTACAAGCTCCGTGCTGCGGTACAGCTCTGGGGCACACCGGCTACACAAGGACCAGCGCGTGCCACCCCAGCTGGTGCAGCTCCAGCCACAGTACCAGCCACTGCAACCCCCCAGGACGAGACAGCATCCACGTGGACGGGAAACAGGTCACACGTACTCGCTGGAGGAGCCCACAGGTCAGCCCTGAGGGGCAGATCCCACCGGAGCCCGATGGACGGGGCTACGAGCCCTGCGGATGGGGCTACGAGCCCCGCGTGCTCCCCTCGGTCACAGCTCGCAGCAGCGCCCACCAGACTCCCTTTCAAAGCTGCCCATAAACAGCACCTGCTGCCTGTACGCAACCTTCTGCCCTGCCCTCACGCAGTCCCCACAGGCACGGGCTGTGTGGGACACCCAGCTCAGCCCCCTAGGAAGCCAACAGACCCCATCGGACTCATCTTAGTCCTGGCTACACCCAGCAGAGACCAAGCCTCCCCAGGCACAAAGGCGCAGAGCTCAGGAACACTGCTACCGCCAGGAAAAGCGAGCCGTGCGCAGGAACGACCTCTCGACGGAGAACCGGGCAGGAGGGAGCAGAGAAGGTGCATCCCGACACCCGCACACCCCTCGCCAGAGCCACGTGCAGAGGTGCTGAGCACAGCACCGGGAGCAGGACAGGCGGGTGCTCCTCCTTCCCACCGGTGCGGCCACCCTGGCCCTGCCGCCCGCCGAGCCGGGCCTCCCCACTCACAGGTGCGGCCGTGCTCCTTGGAGAGCAGGTAGTTGGCAAGCGGCGGCGTGTAGGTCAGGCACTGCACCGTGGAGTTGAGGAAACAGGTATTCCCCAGGTTGTGCAGCCCGGCGCCGATCCGGTAGATGCGATCCCACTTCAGGGAGAGACGGTCCACGGGGAAAAGCACCTTCTGGGGCGCGGGGACCCCGTCCCCCAGGCCCCCCGGGGCATGGCCGTTGCCTGCGGGAAGAGGGGCGGTTGAGCCGCGCGGGTGCGGGGTGCGGGCAGGGCCCCCCTCGCCCTCTCTACCTACCCTGCTTGCCGGGCGGTCCCTCCTCGGGGCCGCGGTGGCGGCCGGCGGCCTCGGCCCGGGGGTTGAGCACCACGTACTTCCCCCGCAGCAGCTCCAGCTGGCAGGAGAAGCCGCGGCTGGCGGGCTCGAACTCCACCTTCTGCAGCAGCACCTTCTTGGCCGAGGCGGCCAGCAGCCGGCCCAGCTCCCCATCCTCGCCCGCCTCCCGCCGGCCCGGCTTCAGCGCCTCCTTCAGCTTCTCCACGATCGGCATGGCGGGGCCCGGTGGCCCCGGCTGCGGGCGGAGCCAGGCTGAGCGGGGGACGCCGCTCCGCTCCGCTCCGCTCCGCTCCCGTTGCGGGGA